TGCTCCCCCCCCCCCCAACTTAGGGATCTTTCTTATCCAGGCATGTACAGGGCATCTGCCAAAAACCTACAATGAATATTGTACTTACTGGTGAAAGACCGAATGCTTTCTTCCTAAGTTTGGGAACAAGAATGTCCACTCTTGCCTTTTCTATTATAGTACTGGAGATTCTGACCTGTGCAGTCACTCAAGAACACTAAATAAAAGGCATCCAGATTGGAAAGGAAGAAGTAAACCTGTCTTTATTTACAGATGACATGAACCTGTTTATAGGAAATACTAAGGAGTTCAGCCAAAAAATTGTATTAGAACTAATGAACAACCACAGCAAGGTTGTAGGATACAAGAGCAATGTAAAAAGTGTCTGGGAAAAGGGAAGAGACTTGGTACTTTTAAAAAGGCCAGACATTCCTAGGTGTCCTTGTTAGAAATAGAATGAAAATTGGGATAGAAATGATGGGATTTTGTTGTTAGGTGGAATTTCGAGGAAGCTGGAAGTGATATAAAAGTCATGGTATCATTTTGGGGTGCTATATATGAATCTTAAGAATCTGATCCCCAATTTGCTGATCTAGTGCACATTTAGGCATGATAAGATAAGCAGGTTTATATTGTTCTCTCCTGTTCCAAGTTCCAAACAGTTAAGTGCTCACTTGACATTGATAGGTTCTTGGAAACTACAACTTTAAGCAAAAAGGAGTACAGCAAGTCCTTGAATCACATTGTTTCATTACAATATTGGTGAGGTAAAAAAAATTGGTTTTGTTATATGTCGTTTCACTTAAAGTCATAGTTTCCGAGAGCCTATTGACATTTAGTGTATTCCAAAGTCAGGTACCTCTGATATCATAGTGGTTGTTAGGTGTCAGTGCATGGATGATTCAGGAGAGACTCCACATTTAATTTGTTTAATTAAGTGTTTTGTTTTGAGATCATTGTAGTTTCACATGCGATTATAAGAAATAATACAGAGAGATCACATGTACCCTTTACTCGATTTCTCCCAATAACATCGTGCAAAACTATACTGCGATATCACAACCAGGATATTGGCATTGATAAGAGTCAAGGTACAGAACATTTCCTTCACAAGAATCCCTCATGTTGCCCTTTTATACTTAAACCTACTTCCCTCCTGCTTTGCCCCTGTTTTTGGTATTTTGAATGATTTTCTGTTGAAAGTTGGACATTTTTGGTATTGCTGTAAAAACAAATCTTACTTAAGTCTTCTGTTTTAACCAGCTTCTCCTGACACTGCTCTGGCAGGGGAAGTGAGGGTGCCACCTCATTTTTGCCAGGTGGGTGTCAGAGGCCAAGTTTCCCACTGAGCCCCACTGATACCTGCCTAGGGAAGAGAGGAAGGAGTCTAGGCTCCCCAGGCGGTCTCCACTGACACTGTTGAGGGATGGGTGGCTTGAATCCTTGCAACAGCCTGGCGTGAGTGGGGTCAGGGGGACTGCAGTTTTTTCTGTGATGTTTGGCTAAAATAGACCAAATATTGCCTAAAAGTTTTCTGTCTTGCTAGGCTGTCCCTTTCCTGGTTGCTGGCTTCTTTAGCTCCAAGTCTGGGGCACAGGAAGCAAGGAAAGAGCCGGGGAATTCTCCATTGTATTGTTCCCTAGAAGCTGAGTCTCTAGTCCGTTTGCCCCTTTCTCCCCACCTTTGGAGTCTTATGTTTGTTTTAGGTATAATGTCTAGGGTTCTTAGTTGTACTTAGTGGGAAGAATTAGAAAAAAATATTTGACTCTATTATTTTGAAAGCAAGTCTCCATCACATCTACCTTTGCAGCATATTTGCTCCAATGGCAGATTTAGAATTTATTTATTACATTAGAAAACTAATTATTTTCTCAAGAACATACTACCTGGTAAACCTGGTAGGAATTTTGTATTTTTTCACACAAAATTGGGTAATTAAGTTTATTATAAGTTAGATGGTCATTATTTATGTAAAGGTAATAAATTCTTTGAAAATGCTATTAGTGACTTCAGTGTCTCTTAATTCTGGTGAGACTGTAGACACTATTAGATTGAAAGAAATGGAATCTGGATTTGTAGTGGATGTGCAGGAATGATTCTTCTCTAAAAATCTTTGACCAACTGATTTCACATAATATTTTTTCCAAGAAGGTATTAGTAGGTATGATTAATGAATGTGTACCGCAAGCCAAAAGAGACAATTATTTGCTAACAGGTGTTTTGTCTTAAAAAAAGTTTGCTTTTTTAAAAGATCTTTTAAAGATATAAATTTGAGAGTCCTTCTTCCCTGCACAGCTGTCTTCCTAAAAGAAATTAATGCGTTTAATCTTCATGTGACTGATCACTACATTTTTGTTTTAGATAATACTGATGTACTGCTATATTTGGTGGATTTTAGTATGGTGATACTTTTTATTAATCTGTTGGAAGTTAAAGGATGGAGATGCGATAAGTTAACTGTTTATTGTTTCTTACAATAAATTGAAACAGAGCATTTAAGTGATACTATTAAGCTTCATTCCTGTAGTTGGAGGGATTTGATGAACAGCAATTTTAAACTCAGGTGCTTTTCACTCATATTGTAGCAGATAGTTTTAGTTACAGATAATTTGCTATGTTTCAACAAAATCCTCATCCTCCCCATTAGTAAGAAATCTATTTCTTTTTTTAATTTCAAAATATTAAGGGGGTACAAATGTTTTTGTTACACGGATACCTTTTACAACACTTAAGTCAGGGCTTTTTGTGTGCCCACCACCCGAATCGTGTTCATCGTACCTGACAGGTAGATTCTTACACTCCCCCCCCACCCCCTGCCCACACTTCTTGATTTCCTGTGACCTTTACATCTCTTCGTGCCCATCATCCCAATTATTAGCAAGTACACGTTGTGTTTGTTTTTCCATTCCTGAGATACTTCGCTTAGGATAATGGTCTCCAATTCCATCCAAGTTGCTGCAAAAGACATTATTTCATTCCATTTTATGGCTGAGTAGTACTCCATGGGGGGTATGTGTGTGTGTATACACACACGAGTATGGTGATAGCTCATTGTGGTTTTCATTTGCATTCCCTGATGATTAATGATGTTGAGCATTTCTTCATATGTTTGTTGGTCATTTGTCTATCTTCTTTTTGAAAAACTTCTGCTTCTGTCTTTTGCCCACTTTTTAATGGTGTTGTTTATTTTTTTTCTTGCTGATTTGAGTTCTTTGTAGATTCTGGATATTAGCCTTTTATTGGATATATAGTTTGCAAATATCTTCTCCCATTCTGTAGGTTGTCTGTTTACCCTGTTGATTTTTTCCTCCTCTGTGGAGAGGCTTTTTAATTTAATCAAGCCCCATTTATTTTTGTTGCTGTATTTTCCTTTGGGGTCTTAGTAATTAAAATAATATTGGACATTGTTGCATGTTGCTTAAGAGAGCAAATATTTTAAAAGTTCATCTTCAATTTCTATGCATTTTATAGAATGATGCCTTCAGTCTTATAGAGACAGGTCTTTGTGTCTGCAGTTAGTTCTTCTTGGTGTGCTTTCTCTTGTCTTCCAGGGAAACTAGTATTGAAATTACCTTGCCTTGGATTTATCATGTGCTCCTGGAATGGTCATATATAGGGTTTAATTTTAATTTCATGCCAGCTATATTTCTCGCTATCAGTTGCCTTTTCCATTTGTGGTCATTATTTTTAAATCTGCTTACATTGCTCAAACAGCAGATGTGATTGTAATTCAGCTACTTCATCTACCAAGAACAAAATTGAGTATCAATAAAGAAAGAGAAGGATTTCCGTACAGCCATATCAGACCAAAAAAACTCATGCATTTTACTTAAAGCCTTGCAGATGTTCAGTTTTATTGATAATGAGATAAATGTGCAGCTTATAGCAATGGTGTATTATTTTTCAGTTGTTAAATTATAAAGCATTTAAATAATGATACCACCAGTGGTAAGAACAGTGTCAGAAGCCAGAAACATTTATACCTTTTAAATTGGTACAAACCATTGGGAAAACAACTTGATAATGTGTATCAGGAGTCATAAAATTGTCTATGCCCATTATTTAATCCAGTAATTCTTCTGAAATGGATAGAGAAAGCTATCCTAAGAACATAAACTGAAATGCAGAGAGGAAAGGCTGCATAGTAATATGGAGCAATGTTTGTGATAGACTGCTCAGCAAAATCATATTTTAAATTGCATTTAAACTATACTATGATCACATTGACATGCCTATAACAAAAATTATAGTAGATTCAGAACTCTTAAAGTGTGTTAGAATAGAATTTTTTGTGATAATATAAATGCAAAGAGCAGTACTAATTGTGTGTATATGTATGTCTGAGCATACCACAGGCATAGAAAAGACTAAAAGCAAGCAAAATATTTTCTGTTGTTAGTATTATCTTTAGGGAGTGAAATTATGGGTTACTTTTTATGTAATTGTACTTTTTTTGTTTTCCAAATATCCTGATAGGGGAGGAGGAGTAAAATTTTTTTTTAATTATTTATTTTTCTTTATATTTATTTTTAAATTTTTAATTTTTTTCCTGTGTTTCAGCTAGAAGCATTTACACGAATTTAAATAGCATGGATAATCAGAGTAGGCAAACAGCATCTTCCCTCTCCATCCTGAGGGCACCCCGACGTGCCACAGTGTACCTGATCTTCCTAAGGAGAATCAGGACAATGTGTGTCAGTGCTCTTCAGCATGTTCTGTCTCTTTTAGGATGCTTTCTGCCAGGGATCTGCTTTAAATGGATGCATCTTCAGCTCTTGAGAAACTGAGCTAATCAGAAAACTTGTTCACAGGGCCCTCAGGAACTGAGGATAGATTAATAAGCTGAAATATTCTTTTGACGAATTTTTCCACTATGAGACCATTTTAGAATCCCTGTAAGAAGGGAAGCTGAAACAATTTTTGTTACTGTGGAAGAGATTACAAAGAACTTTAGTAAATCACTGTAAGATGAACTTGTTTTGGCTCTTTGACACAGTTTGGCTCCTCTCTGTTTCCGACAGCTGGCGCTGAAGGACCCTGTGCACACCGTGTCACTGCAGCAGTTCATCTACGAGAAGCTCAAGGCGCAGCAGGAGTTACTGGGAGAACAAGGCTTCCAGTCCCTCATGGAGACGGTGGACACAGAGATTGTCACCCAACTACAGGAGTTTTTGCAAGGATTCTAAGAGCATACCCAGCCTGCCATTTGTATGTGAGAGCCTGCTGAGATAAAGAAATCACTTGCGTATGAAAATGAAGACGTGAAGACCACACATTTTTTACTATAAAATATAAAAAATAAATGTAAATCCTGCATAACTAAAATCACAAACCTATTCCTCAAAAGAATTTAATTTTATATTTATGAGGGGGCCCTGTGTTTACTAGAGGTACATTTGATGATAATAGCTGCTTAGTTTCCTGTTAAGAGAAGAAACTGTTTGATTATCTTTTCATCATGTACTCTTAACACTCAAGAAGATGAAGGCTAATGTCTGAGATGTTTTTCTGCAACCAAAATTAGTTACATTTGGCTGCCTTATCCCTTTTTTAAACTAATGAAACTACAAGTTTGAAAAATGACAAAGCTGTTCAGCTGATACAGTTAAATTTGTGCACCATCAAAAAATATATAGTAACAGATATACATTACTAAGATTATCTTGCAAGGGAGTTGTTTTCATTTGACATAGAAAATGTGTTTTATCAGACAAATGCTTTTATTTTCATTCTAGTAATTTGATACAGGCATTAGTAAAGGCATTTTTCTCTTGTTATGTTTCCAGTAAATTTATTTAGTCCGTAAATGTACATTGTGAGCCCACAAAAATGAACCTGTGTACTGCTGTACCAGGTGGGAGACCTCTGGTCATGATTTGGTCCTAGTTCCTTTGTTATTCCTGAAAGCCAGCAGCCCTGTGAGCACCGAGAAGAACCGGGCAGCCGCCCGTCCCACCTGTGCTGTGACAGTCCCTCATGGCTGCACTTGCCCTTCTCAGGTTCCTCAGTGCAGGGGCGCAGCTGGGCCTCAGTGATATGGGTGCACCTCGGAGGACCCAGCAGCAATCCCCAGGGTACCAACACTGACGTAACTAGTCTTCCTTCCTTATTCCTCCAACGTGCAGTACATAAAAAGGGGAAAAGGAGAAAATAAAGCCTTACTTTGTTTTACTTCGCATTTATTGTAAGGAACCTTTAAAGCATTTTTTAAAAAATACGCAGAAGCAAGGTTGGAAAATGTCTTATCTTTCTATAGAAAGTTGGATACGGTATGTAACTGCGGGAAACCCACTGCCCCTTTGTAAGCTGTGGAACCCAAAATGTATTGGGATATTTGATGTTTTCAGCAAGAGGAAGAAAATATGGTCCAAATTAAATTTTCCAAAGATACCTCACCTTTGACTGATTTGTCTGATTATTTTCCTTGCCCCACACATACAAAAAAAATGAGTCCTTAAAAAATAGCCCAGTGTATTATAAAGGGGAGTTTTCTTTTATACTCTGGCTTATCATTATTACTCAGTCCTCAAGACTGATCTAAGAAGAATTTCTGCTGACTCATTTGAAGCACTAACCCTATTAATGTTATCAGATATTCTCAAATATGCTCCAGTTTTTCAGTTATAGTAAAATATTCATCTTTCTAATTCCTGACAGATTTCATTATGGTGCCATAGCAAATATTACCAAAATAGCTACCTTGCAAAGAAAAGTAAAATCTTAGAGCAAGAGTTTGATTAATTTTTTTAACTCACAGGTTAAAATAGTCTTTGTAAATAGCTCAAAAAAATTCATGTTTGCCTTTGGACTCTAGGATGAGGAAAAAATAAAAATTTATGTATCTTGAATTTTTAAGTGCTCAATTAAGACATAAAATGTAATTATTGATTTACAGAATTCTATTCATTAACAGTGTTTTAGTAAACATATTAAGTTTAGGACAAGCCAGGGCTCTGGTTGAACTGTGGCTCCTAATACAAGGTAATGATTGTTTCTAGTTCAAAAACATACTCCTTTTCTATTTATTTTATATTCCAGAGACTTCTCCCAACCCTCTGACAAAAGCCCATGTGATCAACAATAACATTTTAAAGTTTTATTATAAGTTCATCTCTCTTCTCCTCTCACCTCCGCTCCCCTTCCGCCCATCACAAATCATACCAAAATACTCGTTCTCTTGAGAAATCTTCACTTTAGGCCTTTATTTTCCCTATTTCTTTATTCACCTAGTATTCGTTGAGTTGCTGTTTGGTGCCATAGTGCTGTGCTACGTTCTGGGGTTAGATCAGGGCACCTCCCTTCGTGAAGTTTCACAATTCAGCAGGAACACAAACGTTGCCAACGTGATATGAGGAAATAGGCGTTCGATGAAGTGCACGTGGAGAAGCAGCAGGCACGCGGGGCAAGGAGCTCATGTACAGAAGACGACGTGATCGCTGTGTCATTTGATAGCCATTTGAAAACTACTCTCAAGCAGCACCGTTTGGTGAGCTTACTTAAAAGAAAACAGCAATATGCTGTAACTGGACAGCTCTCTGACTCCAGACTCACAGCTATTTGAAATCACTCTAACATACAAAATAATCAGTGAGATTTTGAAAATGCTGGATCTCTGTTGCCTCACAACTAATTTCTATCCCCATGAATTAAAACATAAGGCTCACCTACTAAGGGGCTTTTCTTCTGCTTCTCCAAACCTTATAAACCTCAAGTGAGTAGAAATTGATAAGTTGTAGCAGAGGTAATGAAGGGAAGACAAGATGCATGTCACGAGAACACAAATACTTTTCTTCCCCTAAATTTTAGAAAAAGAAAAATTTATCTACAAAAGCATTGAAAGAGTAGTATAATAAACCACAGTTTACCCTTCATCTAAATGTAAGCATTTTGCCACATTAACTTTCTTCATACATATGCGTGTACATAGGTATATATACGTAGACACACACATACAGTATTGGCACTTACTTTTGCTGAACCATTTGAAAATAAAGTACAGATGCTACAAAAGTTACAACATTCATCCCAAAATACTTTAGCATACATCTAAGAATGTTACTCCTCTACATATCTACTAATACCAGTAAATGCCCAAGAAAATTAACATTAATAATTTCTAATAAACAGCTTATATCCCAATTTTCCCAACTCCCCTAAAGATGTCTCATATGATGCTCATTCATTTTTTGATCCAGAGTCCATTTAACGTGTATATGTTACATTTGGCTGGTTAGTTTTTAAATCCAGACTAGTCCTTTTTTTCATGTCTTTGGCCTCTTTGAAGAATCCAAAGCAGTTATCTTGTAGAATGTCCCTTATTGTAGAGTTTTCTAATTATTTCCTTGTATACTTTATGTGACACCACGTCAGAAGGCACATAGTGTCAAGCGGTCTGGTCTCTATTGAAGATCTGCAGTGGTTAGGGCAGTACCAGCTTCTCCATTATAAGGATAAGTTTTCAAAGAATATTACAGCCCTAGAAGTTTCTGTGGGTTTTGTTTCAGTTTTTACATGAGTCATAACTTTTACCACCACCAGCTTGCGTGTTCATTTACAAATGCTGAAGTTTTATTTTACCCTACAAAAATAGCATGACCGAGCTATGGAAAAAGCATATTAAACCTGGTACAAATTTTATCTACCTTGAGTCTCGGAAACTCCTATATGTTATGGCACAGCTTTTAGCCAAGAATCGTTTCTCCAAGGGTTTGCGCTTGTGCATGTGCACGCTTTCGTGTGCGCTCTCTCTCTCTCTCCCCCATGTTTTTAAGTTAGGTAGTTCTTCATGAAAACCAACATAATCTGAACTCACACACCACTAAAAATGAAGACAAACACTGCCCTTCCCATTACCAAAACACCCTTTTTGGATTTGGAAACTGTCAGTAAAGAGGCAAATATGCAGCAATACTTTTATCTTTTTAGTGGGACTTGTATTTGGGCTGAGCTTAAAAGGCAGAAACTAGAGCCAGACTCTAGAGCAACTTTCAGTATGGTTTAGGGTCAGAGGCAGTACATTATCAGCTGGCAAAATGAGGAGAGAAAATAATCACCTCCTTAAATGTGACGCTTTGATCTTGGTATCTCAGTAGGACTATGACATCTGCTGAAAAAGTGGTTTAAAGTCACATTTTACCCCTTAAGAAACTGCACTCTGTCCCAAACACATCCCAATTATACAGAACTTGGTGTCCCATGAAGTGGTGAAAAACTATTCATCTGGCAGTAGAGCTTGGACTTCTTCCACAGCTCCATGCTGTTGGTCTGAAATTGAGCTTTAGAGCCCTTGGGGTGAATGCCTTCATACCCTGGAAAAGGGCTGTAGCCATTGGTTGGGTTTCTCTGTTTTTACTTCTGGGCAATTGGACTCCTGGCCTCAGGGCCTCCTTGTGGCACTTGGATAAAACACTTGGATAAAATTTATAACTGAGAGAGATGGACTATATTTTCTCTTGAATTCTTTCTTACCATAACAAGTGAAGAGTCTCTGATTGGCCAAAGACCTTTAACAAGAATATTTTGCTCTTTGTTCCAGCTAATGCCTGTGTCCAACCCATCTGGGCCTGTTTGTTGGAATTTATTTAGCTAAGCATGTTCTGAAGAGCAGTCTAACACAGGAAAGAAGGTATCGATGTCTGGTGATCTGACCCTTTTTCCTTCAAGGTGAAACATTGATTTTCATGCTGACAGTGGGGAGCCGTAACCACTGCCCTGTTTTTCAGTTTCCCTTTTTGAAATGTCCTGCCCATTTCTTGTTACAAAACACGGACCTTTGCCCTCCTCCTTTCCACCACGCACTCCCCTGCACAAGTTTCCCGTATCTAATCATGTGCTTGTTGAGAAGTTCCAGAGATTGAGTCTTGAAACAACCCAGACCCCCACCAGGCGATTACCTCAAGGCTGCAGTTAATCTATAGCTAAACGTTCACCAGGTGGAACAACAATTCAAGATAATCACTAGGGGCCAGGGGCAGTGGCTCACACCTGTAATCCTAGCACTCTGGGAGGCCGAGGCGGGAGGATTGCTTGAGCTCAGGAGTTCAAGACCACCTCTGAGCAAGAGCCGGACTGTCTCTACTAAAAATACAAAAAATTAGCAAGTCAATTAAAAACAGAGATAAAAAATTAGCCGGGCATGGTGGCTCGCGCCTGTAGTCCCAGCTACTCGGGAGGCTGAGGCAGGAAGATCACTTGAGCCCAGGAGTGTGAGGTTGCTGTGAGCTAGGCTGATGCCATGGCACTCACTCTAGCCAGGGCAACAAAAGCAAGATTCTGTCTCAAAAAAAAAAAAAAAAGATAATCACTAGGACAAGTCACACTGACCAGCACCTCCTTGCCACTCCTGCGTGCCCTTCATTTCCCTTTTTAAACCCCTACCCTCAGCCCAAGACTTTGAAATGATTTCTTTGAGGCATGAGCCTTAGGCATTTCTCCACCACAGCTCTGAAATGAAGTCACTTTTCTTCCACTACACCTCCTCCTGGCTGTCGGCTTTTGCACGTGGCCAGTAGCTGAGCCTGTGCTTGATTACAACGCCACAGTCATTCCCCAGTGGAGCAAAAAGAGGATGCAAGTACTTGCTCGAGCAGGTATGGGTCCAGGTGGGCTGAAAGCATTTCTGTCTGTCTGCCACTAGGCAGATGGTTTTAAAATGGGAAATAGGCCATTTGGCTAGAATTCTGCTTGTTGGGGATTTTTATTATATAAGGGGATGAGACTGTGATTAGACCTGCAAGTGAGCTTGTATTAATAGTTTTTCTCAATAGCTTTAACCTGAAGTAAGATCAGCATCTCATTTCAAAAGGGACAGTTCATTTCCACAGTGCTCTCTAGGTTAGCCCCCAAATGGCTTTTTTCTTTCTTTTTTTAATGAACACTGCAACTTAACCAATAATCTAGAAGAGCAAAACTTTTTGATTGACAGGGAAGCTGTAGCACATAAAAGTGTTCACTGAACTCAGAAATGTATTGACAGCCAGGGAAGGGAAGTCTACTGATGGATCTGAAGGTAATCACAAACTAATCGTGAGCTCTATTTAGGCAAGGAAGGCAGCTTGGCTATTTCTTTTTTGGATTGAAAAGCACATGTCCTGTGCTGTCTGTGGCAGTGAAATCAATACCATGAAATGGCCTTTTCCTTTTAGCCTTGTGTGTTTTTACAACACAATGCACTGAGGCAGGCTGACGCAGGTGAGCACATTCAATATTTTATTATATGTACCAGGTGAACCTGCTAAATGCAACTCACAGTTTGTAAATATGAAAGCCTAAACTTACTGAAATAATAGATTAGGGAACTGATTATTTTAAAAGGCTCTGTATACCTTTCAAAAGGCTCTTTCTTATAGACTTTGACTAAAGGAAGAAAGTAGACTTTTGAAATAATTTTTTTTTAAGTAATA